CCATACTCCCACGTATAATTGTATTATGTATTAAGAATACTAATATTCCTCATGACATTGACCTACTTATAATTCATTCTCGGATACATGTACAAATAAAATATTAGTTACGGGGGTGTCTGTGAGCAATTTTAGATATATTATGTTGTTTCGTTAGATTGCATGTCTTTCAATATAGTTTAATATAATCATCATTTTCAAAATCTCGAGAAAAGTTTGGAATGCTACATCCTGCAGTACGCAACAGTTTTAGAACTATAAAATCATTTTAATTGTGCGCATTGGTTACCACCAGGAGTCGCGCCAACTCCATTTGTAAAGCTTTCAAGTACATTTATCCATATTAAACGAGACTATATGACTTACTTTTGAAACGAATATTATATTGATACTTTTTTTTATTTGGATCAAGGAGACTTTAAAAGGCAAGAAATTTCTTTCAGTTTCCACGTGAAGCAGTTTCAGTATACATTTCATTGTACCCATTACGACATATATTAAATTTTAAAGGACTGTTTTATAAGGTTATTTCCAACACAATGTACGGTTTGGACGGGTTAAATCATTCAAAAAGAAGATGCAACTCTGATGATACAAAACAGACTCTTTTATAGACATTTTCAAATCGTTGTTTATTTTAATTTTGTTTAACATTTTACACGCATAATAGCTTGTATTTGTATGATGATTGTCTGATTATTCATACTAGTTTTTATTAACCTGGTCTATTTATTCTTTGTTGTGAATGGTCAAAATGTAAATATTTCCCAATTTAAGTTTTTGCCCTAGTTGATTTGTTCACGCGGACGCTCACTCCTCTTGTTTTTGTACATGAACCAGTGGCCAAGTGTCACTGTTGTTGGTCTGTTTTGTCAAGAGGGAGCTGAACACCAAATATGATCAATTTCATACACAGACAGATATAACACGTATTTGATACTCACTGAGCAGGCTTTTACTATATAAAGGGCTCACTGAGGCAAAATAATAGGTACATTATCCTTTATGGGGAGGCTGGGCGTGCTTCAGCTTATAACTAAAGAGATTAAGGATACCAAATTAGTCCCAATGTCTGATTAAAGAACTTTTCTACATGGGCTACTTGTTGAAACTATTTATTTTACAATACGCGAGAAAGAACAAAATTTGAAGGGTAATGAAAAAGATGTGAAGTTATAAAATTTACTATGAGTGGCACTGTACCGTAGATTTGTGATCACTTACAACTTACAAATGTGAAGTTATAATATTTAGATCAGTGAAGCGTGCACTGTGAGTGGCACTGTACCGTAGATTTGTGATCACTTACAACTTACAAATGTAGAAGATATATTGATGTTTTTTCTCCTTTTAATACCACATGTCAATATTTGTATCATCACTTAGGATAAACACCATACAAAAATAGCCCCAAAGGTTGTTACGAATGTATATATTTATGTTACCATACCACAGAAACAACAAATAGCAAGTTAAGCTGAATCCATTTATTGTACAGTATAAAAAAGTAATTTGAACATTGATATTGATTACTTGACATTGACTAAATAGGATTTCTGGTACTGATTTCTCGTCGAGCACTTAAATCATTGAAAGCTTGATATTGCATCCTGTATGTTTTGTATTATGTAAGAATCTTGAATGGACTAGTTTTTAGCGCGAGCTTATTAAAAAAAGAAAAAGAAAAACAGTGTTCTCTTTTGACAAGAAAATGCTTGAGTTATTTGTCATTGATAAATTATGAATGGATCAATATGGTACCGAACTCGTGATTGATTTTCACACTCTCGTCAGACAAGCGTTTCTCCCGATCATGTATTTTTGAACTCTTGATAGATATATAGAGATTTATATTTGCATTTAGAATTTGTATTTTTTTGTGATCTAAACATAATAATGGCATAATATTAGCGGTAGTAAAGGTTTTGTATCGTAAGTGCAGCGATAAGCTCGGAACAGCCTAACGTTACATATTTGTTTGCTGTTTACGATGGTCTGACGTTATTCGGGACAGGTGGCAATTTCTTCTGATAGTGTTTATATAGGTACATGCAGTTGGAACGTTCATACATGTTGATTAAATTTCCTTCATATTTTTTTTGGTGTGTAATAAATCAACTAAACACTGGCCCTTTCTTTTAAGCTCGGATAAAACAAGCTTGGAGAAAGAATATTTTCGAGTGTGACGGAATGTACTACCACCGATATTGTGCAAGAAAGACAGTAATGAAGCTGACACGATAGGTGCTCTAATATAATAGCACCACCAATACTGGACAATTTTAACGAAACACATCATTCCCTAGTTCAAAGGTTTTAACACTGATATTTATAACTGTCAACATTTTTATTTTAAAGGACTCAAATTTTTAGCACTTTATCAATTTATACCTAAGCGCATCGATGGATTTGCGCAACCAGATTATTTGCAATATACAGAAACTTTAATCATTCTTATCACAATTCAACGCAACTTAAAGAGCTAAAATAAGATTACCACTAAAATGTGCACGTTTGTAGTATACATCTTCATCAGGAAAACGAAACATTTGAATCAATGCTTAGCAAACGTATGAAATAAATTTCCTGTAAAACGTCTGGTGAATATTGTTTACAGGTTAAGTTACACCATAAACAGATCTTTTTTAATATTATAAAATAAATCGAAAATCCATGGTACAACTATCTGATTGGTCAATTCAAGTCCATATAAAATATGTTGATTGTTGGACGGGATAGATAATTTCCTTATAAAGATATGTTATTTAAAGTATATAACATAACCAACGAAGGGTGATAACTCGAATATTGTAAACAAGGAATATGTTTGATGTGTCAAAAAACTGGAACGACATTGTTTATAAAAATGTCAACAAGGACTGATAATGTGTCGTTTAGCAAGCGCTGATACATTGTGTGTAAAAAAGACGAGACTGAATGTGTGCAAGCAGGCAACAAAACAATGTATGTGCACAGGTGTCGCTACATTGGGTTTAAATAAGATACATTTGTATGATGTGTTGTGTAAAAAAATATGATGTGTTGTTTATTTACAAAATATGATGGGTGGTCACTAAAAAATGGACGATGATTTGTATATAAAAGGGTATAGCTTCTTATATGAGAGTTTATTTTGACACCGCATATTACTTTAAATATACACACGAGAAAAATATTCATTAAAAAAATCGATTGTAATTTGCGTCTATACATCGATGGAAATACGCTTTGCTTGTTAAACCTACAAGATGTGGTCGATTGTCAAACGAGAAAAATAAATAAATATTCACCCATTTTTCCTTCTATCCTTCATTCATAATCAAATTTCCACAGCCTTATTTGTCTCACGAACCAAAATAAACATATGTAATATTTGCAGGTCAAGTTTTAAATTATTCACAGATAAATGTTATTAAAAATACATATTTATCTCCTCCTCGTGACAGAATATGTCTTTTTGGCTTAACGTTATTTTAAGATATTAAAACGCATCAGTAAATCAAACATTTAAAAAGGTGCCTATGTCAATAACACTATACAGAAAGTCTCTTTCTCTGTCTCTCTGATTTTAATCAATCTTTGAGTCAATTAAATTGTTTATATAGACAGTAAAAATATAAAAAATATAAACAGCCTGGTTTCAGTCCACGTCTTACTTTTTCTGCCAGCTCCCTTCTTTATACTCAAAAACACGTAACGTCCTCGTATAATGGGGAAAAGGGGTTTTAAGAACATCCACACAATTGTTGTTTATTTCAGAGACATGTCCAATCTACCGTTTAAACAGCTTTTCTATGGAACAATAAAGCTATTTTAGGTTGACAGCTTATCATCCCTATGAAAGTTGATAATGCGTTAAAAACCTAATTTGCTTAGCCACGTATTAACCCTCAGACGGGAGTCATCTGTTCAACACATACCAATGTATTGTGCTGTGCACGGAAACGAAATAAGAGTGTATTTTTGATAGATTAAATAATGTCAGATAACTGATTATTGGATTTGCTCCACTTGTCAGGCACTATAGCGAGAATGACGTTTGGAGTTCAGAGTAAGAACGGTATTGATATACTCGGCCGTTTTACTGATTCAGCGCTCTATCATTCATCTAGTATGGAGGGAAAGATACGCTCTTCCATAAATAATACTACATATATCTTAACAATAAGGGTAAATATATTTTCACATATAAAAATAAATTGTTATATCGTTGTCTTTGACAGTAAAGAGGAAGTGCCTATTGTGTTGAATACAAACCATGCAAATAAAAATGTAGAAGCAAATTTCCTGTTTGATAATTTTTTGTATACATAACAATGGTCGATTTCACATTTGTTTTTATTATTTGTTTTTTAATCGAAGAGAAGTTCCCGCTTATTTCCGGCAACGTTTTATTATTGACAATATAGGAAAAAACAATACTGTTCTGACTTTTTAAGATGTATATTTCCGATGGAAAAAATCTTGAAATAAGTGTCAGAAAAGGATAAAAAATAATCAAGACTTATTTTGAACCCTTACTATGAAGGTGGATTGCATCTGATAGTATTCATTATTTTAATAAGACATTTTGATTAAAATATGTAAGAAACATGTAAACATAAGCATATGATACCGTTACGTGTCAAGGTAAAGGCTTAAAACCCTTGATTTGAATGTAGACCAGTCGTATATACCACTGTTACCCTTTCAGCATGTTGAGATGAGCGTTTGGTTTTATCAAACAATGATATTGCATTTAAAATGTATGTATGACATGTTTCAATATTTCATGTATGACACTATACAACAACAACAAGAATGAAATTATGCTTCAAAATTACTTTAAACAGCGGGAACAAATCTTAAACTATGGACGCAAACGTGTTCTACTATCTAGACACATGCTTAATCTTTAAGAATGATATTATAGCAATGTCTTCTTTAAAACAATTGTTATTGCCCTTTGTTTCGCCACTCCCCTTAAGAACCTCTCTGGTTCGTTGAAGGGGGTGGGTTCATCCTCTCGAATATATAACCTGTTTCCACTACGTTGACGGGCAAACACACCTAAGCATTGATCTGAAATCCTTTCCTAATTTGCTCCTATACTTTCCATTTAAAAGAACATATATGAGAGGGTTGATTGACGTAGAAAGTTTAGCACAAAATCCGGGAATAGCTGAAGTTAATGGAGTGATCAGCTGAATGTTCCCAAAGCTACCAATTAGTGCTACAACAGCGTATGGCAACCAGGACAAACAAAACACCATCGTAATCACAAGTGCTGTTTTCGCTACCTTTATCTCTATGTTAAAACGACTACTTCTCCAGAGTTGTTGTGTATTTTTTAATCTATCCATCTCGCGTTCGTTGCGACTAACCTTCACGAAAATTGAAGCGTAAGAGAACATTATGAGACTGACGGGTACATAGAAAACGCAAGTTTGTAAAGATATCACAAATGATTTGTATAAAGTATCCCGTGAAAGGAAGTCGAATGTGCAGGAGATTCGACTTCCTTCGATGATGTATCGTCCCCAGCCAGCCAAAGGCATAGTCGCCCAAAATATTCCATAAATCCAAGTGAATTGAATCGCCATGATTAATTGTTTCAATGTTACTTTCCTGGAAAATGTAATGACAATACTCCTCTCAATAGCGATCATAGTTAGAGTTGTGATAGAAACGATGCTAGTGACAGAACCAATGAAGCCGTATAGCAAACAACCTAAAACAAAAAGGCAAGTGTTAGTTTCTCGTCGAATCTGGCAGGAGTTCCCATTTGGAATAAGCTTGTGTTATTAATTTGAATAATGAAACCTTGAAAAACTAATAAACATCAAATTATTATAATTATACTTTGTTCTTGTACCCAAATAATCTTTGAAAGATAAACGTGACACAAACACACATGTGACTGTGCCTTTGAATTACGGTTATATAAATATGTCAGTGTCAGTGTGTCAGAAATGAATGACACAGCATCATGCAGAAGATTAGGATAGAGTACGGACAAGAATATCCGGAAATTATTTTTTATATCAAAAATGTGAATGTATACTTATTTGTTAATATATATGTATGACGAATACTGATACTTGATCGAATATTTCGAACAGTATGTACATTATTTAAAGGCGATTATAGACGCCCATGTACATTGTATGTTTCTACCACAATACGCTGTGTTATTCCACTATCAGATCATTGTATAAACACGCAGACTGTTAGATAATATGAGTTATATACCACACGTGGTATATGACCTTCAAGAGTTTTGATTGGTCGAGAAAATGAAATTGACCGGGACGACTTTCCACGCGCTTTTTGCCACATGCTGTTTTGTTTACGTCGTCTGCTGTCAACATCCGACAAATGTTGTTGACTTTGTGTGGTTATGCGGAAAAGCGGGTTATTAAGGCAATATTAAAAGAAGATGATACTTAAAGATTTGATCGCTATAGTTTCAGGCAAAATTGCTACAGACGCTCGATATCGTTTCGACGTCACACCGTCGCGTGTCCAGGTCGTGAAACCAAAACAAGATCTTTCACAATGTCGGGAAATACTTCGTTCTCCCAACATCATGTTATCGCTATTTGGACGGTCTGACTATATGGATGAACTTTCACTATAAACGTCAACAATAGAACCGTCACGAAGGAACGTAGGCCTATGGTCTTGGACATTGACAGCGATAAGTTCGTCTTCATCACTTGGCGGGAGGCAGGCTTCGTACGATATGCTTACGCGCATATAGTCCGTGGTTAATTTATATAAATTAATGCAATATTGCTACTCTCAATATTTAAAGTCGTTCATGTTTTATATTTTTTCATAAAGTTGTTGCCGAAACATTAATTTTGACAATTATTAAATTTGTAAAAAAAAGTGACTTTTTACATATGGGTCATATCACTACGCCAGCCTTGTCAACAAACACATGTGTATGTTATTTCCGACTGATCCTGAGATTGTGGTAAAAACAGATCACACGACTCGTGGTTGTTGAGTATGGTATTTATTTCACTCTCGTTAGTTAATTTTCAAATTTTTGAAAATTAACTAACTCGAGTGAAATAAATACCATATTCAACAACCACTCGTTGTGTAACCTCTCTCTATATATATGTTTATGTCATAAAATTTTGGAAAATATAATTAAAAGAAAATCAAAAAAAATCTTGGTCTCATCAGTGATTATAGGGCCCCAACAAAATAGAAACTCATATTGTCTAAACTACTGTTGAAACAGATAGCAGATGCGTAAAACTCCCTAATTGATGAATAAAAAAAGTGCTGGTTAAGTTCAAATCAAATAATTTGTAAAAGCTAATTCAAAAACAATTTTTGAAATTTTAATTAATTTGAAATACGATGCATTTCCACAAACATGATAAAATTATTATGATGTTAGAATTTACCCTTTGATAGCTAAATGAATACGCATCGCTTTATGGGTAACTTTATTGAAAAATTAAAATCATTTAAAGTTAATAATAGATACCGGAAAATATGCTAAATGAAATTGGTAATATTAAGTGTATTTATTACATACTTACTAATAAAAACGTTTTTTTTTGTATATGCGACACGACACAATTGCTCTAAACCATATCAGCCCTCGCCGTATCACACCCCAAAACCCGTATCAGCCCCCGCCGTATCACACCCGCAAAACCCATATCACAACCCTTTTGGAAAAAAAATCGTTTTTCAATATTTCAAAAATAAAAATAAATCATAAGATAGTAATTTTTATTAGTAAGTATGTAATAAACAGAATAAAACACGCCTTTTTCCATATCACACCCAGTATCAACCCTTGAACAATATCAGCCCTCGGGCCTTCGGCCCTTGGGCTGATATTGCAGTCTCGGGTTGATACTGGGTGTGATATGGAAAAAGGCATGTATTATTCTCTATAGACCTCATGAAGGATCTAACGTAAATGTCAAACTTTAACCTGACTATCCTGTATGTATTATTCTCTATAGACCTCATGAAGGATCTAACGTAAATGTCAAACTTTAACCTGACTATCCTGTATGTATTATTCTCTATAGACCTCATGAAGGATCTAACGTAAATGTCAAACTTTAACCTGACTATCCTGTATGTATTATTCTCTATAGACCTCATGAAGGATCTAACGTAAATGTCAAACTTTAACCTGACTATCCTGTATGTATTATTCTCTATAGACCTCATGAAGGATCTAACGTAAATGTCAAACTTTAACCTGACTATCCTGTATGTATTATTCTCTATAGACCTCATGAAGGGTCTAACGTAAATGTCAAACTTTAACCTGACTATCCTGTATGTATTATTCTCTATAGACCTCATGACCTGACTATCCTGCGGTTAATACAAGTGTAAGAGAAGTCATTATTTATTCAACAATGGGAAACAAGGTTGACATGGGAATTCAACAAATGTCCATGGTAACCTAAATATAACACTAGAATTGTTTTACTGCACTTTACAGTGTCCATGGTAACCTAAATATAAGACTAGAATTGTTTTACTGCACATTACAGTGTCCATTGTAACCTAAATATAACACTAGAATTGTTTTACTTCACATTACAGTGTCCATGGTAACCTAAATATAACACTAGAATTGTTTTACTGCACCTTACAGTGTCCATGGTAACCTAAATATAACACTAGAATTGTTTTACTGCACATTACAGTGCCCATTGTAACCTAAATATAACACTAGAATTGTTTTACTGCACATTACAGTGCCCATGGTAACCTAAATATAACACTAGAATTGTTTTAATGCACTTTACAGTGTCCATGGTAACCTAAATATAAGACTAGAATTGTTTTACTGCACATTACAGTGTCCATGGTAACATAAATATAACACTAGAATTGTTTTACTGCACTTTACAGTGCCCATGGTAACCTAAATATAACACTAAAATTGTTTTACTGCACATTACAGTGTCCATGGTAGCCTAAATATAACACTAGAATTGTTTTACTGCACATTACAGTGTCCATGGAAACCTAAATATAACACTAGAATTGTTTTACTGCACCTTACAGTGTCCATGGTAACCTAAATATAACACTAGAATTGTTTTAATGCACTTTACAGTGTCCATGGTAACCTAAATATAAGACTAGAATTGTTTTACTGCACATTACAGTGTCCATGGAAACCTAAATATAACACTAGAATTGTTTTACTGCACTGTACAGTGCCCATGGTAACCTAAATATAACACTAAAATTGTTTTACTGCACATTACAGTGTCCATGGTAACGTAAATATAACACTAGAATTGTTTTACTGCACATTACAGTGCCCATTGTAACCTAAATATAACACTAGAATTGTTTTACTTCACATTACAGTGTCCATGGTAACCTAAATATAACACTAGAATTGTTTTACTGCACCTTACAGTGTCCATGGTAACCTAAATATAACACTAGAATTGTTTTAATGCACTTTACAGTGTCCATGGTAACCTAAATATAAGACTAGAATTGTTTTACTGCACATTACAGTGTCCATGGTAGCCTAAATATAACACTAGAATTGTTTTACTGCACATTACAGTGTCCATGGTAGCCTAAATATAACACTAGAATTGTTTTACTGCACCTTACAGTGTCCATGGTAACCTAAATATAACACTAGAATTGTTTTAATGCACTTTACAGTGTCCATGGTAACCTAAATATAAGACTAGAATTGTTTTACTGCACATTACAGTGTCCATGGTAGCCTAAATATAACACTAGAATTGTTTTACTGCACTGTACAGTGCCCATGGTAACCTAAATATAACACTAAAATTGTTTTACTGCACATTACAGTGTCCATGGTAGCCTAAATATAACACTAGAATTGTTTTACTGCACATTACAGTGCCCATTGTAACCTAAATATAACACTAGAATTGTTTTACTGCACATTACAGTGTCCATGGTAGCCTAAATATAACACTAGAATTGTTTTACTGCACTGTACAGTGCCCATGGTAACCTAAATATAACACTAAAATTGTTTTACTGCACATTACAGTGTCCATGGTAGCCTAAATATAACACTAGAATTGTTTTACTGCACTTTACAGTGCCCATGGTAACCTAAATATAACACTAAAATTGTTTTACTGCACATTACAGTGTCCATGGTAACCTAATTAAAACACTAGAATTGTTTTACTGCACATTACAGTGTCCATGGAAACCTAAATATAACACTAGAATTGTTTTACTGCACTTTACAGGGAAAATATGTTTTTGTACTCTTTTTAGTCTTTTTCATTTATTATGTTAAAGATCTGTATATTAGTTTGGGATTGCAAGTAGTTTAATTAGACGTTGGCTAAAGTTTATAATTTCTTTCATGCATAAAATCGTTATCGATTAGAGTAAGACCAAAATTACCTTTGGTGTTGTATTCCGCTTTCCACATTGATAACAGAATAGTCAATATTTATAAGTGGAAGTGTCGCCTGCGCAGGAAGCTGGGATTTTACGAAGAAATAGATACACTTTTCATTTCAAGAAATAATGTTAAAAGTAAGCAATAATCATAGATTATGTTTTTGGATGGCATCATTTTGTTATATAATCAGTTATTCTGGGAAGAATACTCTGGGTTTTAAGGAACTTGCTATGGATACTCATTGTCTCAATTCCAAGTTCAATTTGTATGATTTGTCGGATGGTTTCCCATAAATAAATGAATAAACTTGTGGATTATGATGTTAAACAGCTAGTGTTGTCAATAACATTTGGAGTAAGACGGCATTTCAGCGGTATGAAAAGTAATCCCAAGCAAGCAGTTTTGGTAATAAAGCACTGCATGAAGTTTAAGTTTGATCGGCCCAAGGAAACTCAAGTAATCGCACGAAAACAGATTTTCTATTTATAGTAACAGTGACCTTGACCTTGGACCTTCGGACCTAAAAAGGAATCCCAAGCAAGCAGTTTTGGTAAGGAAGCACTGCATTAAGTTTGAGTTTGATCGGCCCAAGGAAACTCAAGTTATCGCACGAAAACAGATTTTCTATTTATAGTAACAGTGACCTTGGCCTTTGACCTTCGGATCTGAAAAGCAATCCCAAGCAAGCACTTTTGGTAAGGAAGCACTGCACGAAGTTTGAGTTTGATCAGCCCAAGGAAACTCAAGTTATCGCACGAAAACCTCTGTTCGGACGACGCCGCCGACGCCGCCGACGCCGGCAAAGCAACACCAGCTTTTCGCAGGCGACACAAATATAATATTAAAAGAATTAAAGACACATTTTGTATGAGAATATGATACGAGCTATATTTACCTGATTCCCCAAACACCCAAGCCTGCCTCAGACTGGCAACGCCTAGCACTGGTAACGTCGATAACGACAGAATGAGGTCTGTGACAGATAAGTTGAGTAGCAAAACGTTCGATGGCTTCCTCATCGATCGGAATCTGCAATGGATTAAACACAATATAATAGGTAGGAACTTAACTGAAATCTCTTCGTCGCCCCTCACAATTGTTCATTTCACGGACATGATTGCCAAAAATGGTTCGTTAGCGACATACAGCTTAGTCTCGTTCAACCAGACACTTGCTCACTTGTAATTCTCTGTTCGACGTAGCTTTCGCAGGCAACAAGAGTCTGGTTGAATAAGACTACATACAGCTTGGGAGTATCAATGGTCTTCACGACCAGACATTCGGTCATTGTGCATGGCTGTCATTTTTGCGTGCGATTCGACATGGAGAAATGTTTCTCTATGACTAAAAAATTCCAATATAACCATTCATTAAAACAAACTAAAGTTCGTATACCCAAACTCTCGTTGTTTAGCACAATTACAAAAGGAGGAGGTGCGGTCAACAACAGAGAATTCAAGACCAGAGCGTCAGGGTAATCTGATACATTATGGACATATTAACGCCAATTTGTAAAGATCGTTTTTTGCACATGTACTGGTGATGTTGGTTTTATATATCACTAATTAGTTAAACAACAGCGGCGAGTACAAGAAAAAGTCAAATCAAGGAGGCAACTACAGCCACTAAGGTCCCCGTACACACTCTCCACCAGCTCGTGAATAAGTTTGACCAGAACAACCACATCCTTGATTTGAGTAGAATCTTTGAACAAATATGGCAAACATGTATTATAGAAATTCCTTTGGGGGGTTACCGTCATCTGGGTACAATGGATACGTGAACAGGATTAAAGTAACCTGTGTCGGAACAGTTGGTACACTCTGTTACTCTGGCGGTGTGCTTACAGCACTGCAGTTGTATGTATATTCATCTTTCTAAGCGTCTATTTGTAGTTACTACTGACACTGTATCTGGTTCCTTCCCTAATCAGTCCCTTTGTTGAGCTATAGATCTTTCATGAGACGTTTGTTTTCATCTCAGTTTACACCTTCAATATCGATGTCAAATCCTACCATATTGATCTTTGGGAAGATATTTAAGGTGATAAGTTGGTTCGTCCCGTCATTTTACACCTTCACAGGAAAACTCATTTCCATTCTCTCTATGAGAACTTATTTTCATTATGAATCACTAATTTCACTTTTGCTATAAATGTTCCTATAAATCGATCACCAGATGGACACAATTACAGACAGGAAAAAGTAGTCATTGTATGCGACTTGTGATCTTTGTATCTAACAAATCGTAAAACATGACATCAAATACCATAATTAATAGACGATGGTCCCATTATTCTGAAGTCCTATTTTGAACTAAAAATACTTGCTCCTTTTTTTTCCCTTTTTTTTTCGACAAATTTAAATAAAAGATAAGTTAATCATTGTTTTTAACAATTGTTCAACAGGCAAGGGGCTCTATCCACTGCGCCACCCGAGGCTCTACCACTGCGCCACCCGACCACCTACTACTTTTTTTACAAGTATTCCTGACGTAACGGTATGTCTGCCTACATGTGTTTAACCAGTAGACCACACTAATGGAATTGAAATCACAGTCACTCTATAGAGAGGCAGGTTACGTTTCTATATTGTTGTATAGTTAGTGCTTTTAATGCCACAGACATAAGTATTTTTAGTAGGTCTGCCTCTTCTTTTTTCAGTTAAACAGCGAATGTTCACTGTCTATTTCTAAGATGTTTTACTTCAGTTTTATCAGTTACTTACAGTTGGTGATTTCTTCAACAAGAAGACCACGTTCTATGAATAGAAAAATGTTACAGACCTCGACCTATAAATAGAAAAGTGTTACAGACCGCTACTAAAAATAGGCCGAGGTAATTTCCCAGCCAGTCTGTAAAGCTGTTACCATTCACACTACTGAATTCAACTACAAAACCGCTATTTAGAAAAAATAAATATATTCTTGCGAAATTTAGATTGCAAGCACATAAACTTAATATAGAGACAGGTAGATATAATGCAGTGCCTCGAAACCAGAGATTGTGTACTCTATGTGATCTTGGAGATGTCGAGGATGAGTTTAATTTCATTCTTATGTGTCCTGTATTTTTAGAATTAAGAGTATCGTATATCAAGCCATATTATCGTATCAGTCCTTCTGTGCTTAAACTAATAGAGCTACTGGCTAGCACAAACTTTAAACTTATTAGAAATTTAAGTAAGTACTTGATTCAAGCAACTGTTAAGAGAAGTCATATATTATGAAATATAAGCTGTATCAAAGTCTTGCTATAAACGTTTTGTTACTGTATAATGCGATTGAGATCTATGTCTTTTACTTCACAATGAGTTATAATTTCATTTCATTATATAATATATAGTACTCGTTCTACCTTCATGTTGAGGTTGTATGATTGACTTTGAAGTTTTGTTATTTCCTAGAAATTTGGTTAGATTAAGGCTTTATTTGTATTATTTCATAAACAACTAAATTATGCTTCATAAGAGTCCGCTATGTTACCTTAGGAAAACCTTAAAGTGTCCCCCCACTTATGACTATTTCATGAATTTGTAATTATTATGTATGGAATTGAATCTATTGCATATGTTCTCCGCCATTGTACAAGATATTTGTAAAGTATTTATATATATGTATATTTCTGTACGCCTATATGCAATGTGCATTTGGTAATAAATTTAAAAAAGAAAAAAAAAAAAAAAATGGTCGACGACTTGTCACGCTCTATTGAACTACTCCTGTTGGTCCGACTTAACCTGTACATCATGACCAGTGTAACTTCTGAAGTATTAGAAACTGCGCACTGTGTTACATGGCGATAATGAATCCCACATAGCGAGATCTCTAAATCAACTGATTGAGAAGATGGGGCGAATGGATGAGAGACTAGGACGAATAGAGAAGACAGTAAACAAAATAGACTCAATCGAAATAGCCATCAACAGATTAACCGGAAAAGTTTAAGAGCTGGAGCTAGAAATAACGGCTGTAAAAGAAAAGAATAAAGAAATTGAAAAAAGTGCAGAGGCAATTGGTGAATTTTTTGAGCAGGTCAAAGAAAAAAACGGAACAAAATGCAAAAAAACATTACTAATGCATATACTGAAATGAAAAAAACGGGAGAAGCCTTGGCTTACCAGGCTACTAGCACGGATAGAATTTAAAAGGAACTTCTTAATTTGCGCCATGAACATGAAGCCATGAAAAATACAGTAGAAGATCAACAGTGTCGAGGAATGAAGTATAACCTAATACTTACCGACACAGAGACGAAGTAGTAGTCGATAGTGAGCGAGTTAATCGCGATGAAGATGCACAGCCCCACCTTTCGTTCAGTGAGACGGCACAACGAGGGCCAGATGACGTCACCATTGTGCTCAATACCCCCAACAACACGCGATGGCCCAGGCGAGCGCGTTCCACTCCCAACAGTGGGAACAGTCGCCATCAACCCCCGGGTTCCCGGGCACGCACAACGTCGACAGACGATTTCAACGGGTCGTATGTGGGCCAATCCCCAGGAAGACAACCCATGCCATCGCACCAAAGAGGAACCACGTCATCACCGATCCGACGTCATCCTCCTGGCCCAGGGGGATCCCATAGACGAGCGTAGGGAAGCGTAACGAGAGGTCTCGGCCTCAAGAACTTGAACATTGCATTTCTAAATGTATGTGGACTTATGTCTAAATCGTTACTACCAGAATTTGACAATTTAGTTAAATCGCATGATATCCTTGTATTTGTGGAAGGTAAAACTGATAATTTAGATATTATTAATTTACCAGATGAGCACACATACTTTGCAAAAATTCGAACAAAATGTAAAACAAATCAGGAGGTATTGTCATCGTTTTTAAAAAGAGTTTAGAACATATGTTACAATTTATCTTTTAGTTTAAATCAATTTTATTACAACAAAAGACAAATGGATTGGGCAAAAGTTATTGCAACTTACTTACGCCCTTTCCGTAACAGAATATATATATACAAAATTAATGTGTCACGTAATAACCTAATACAAATTTATATATGTATATATATATACGATGTTAAAGATGGGTTACAGCAGAAGAGGTAATGATAGGATTAGGGACACCAACGTATAGTTTTTAAATATGTATTCGGAGAGTTTACTTGAGATCGCGTGTGTGATTTTTCGAATCGAGTCGGCGTAAGTAGTATACCTAATCTGTACACACATATCCTTCTGCTTTTCTAAAGTTCAATCACATTCCGTGCCGCATTTGCCTTTCTCCTGTGTCACTCCAAGTCCTTGTGTGAATTCCTGCCTTACATACTTAGCCGACTAGATTAGGAAAACCGTCCACGCGCTCTTTGTCATATGGAAACGGTTATGATATTGATTGACGCTAAGATTGAAGTTAGTACACAGAGATCGTTGGTGTTGAAAAAGGGAGAGGGGCTGGAATAAGAGAGGAGGGGGAGGGGAGAGACAGATGGGAATAATCGAAGTAGGTATCCTGGTTATATAATATGACTGTTGGGTATTATACATGTTAAACCGTTTGGAGCTAAAAATGAACAGTTGTACAGACCTACACATTTGAATGTTTAGATTGTAGTCAAGGTTTGCATCTCCGAAGAGAAGGTGTTCAACAGTGATTTCGTTATACCAGTCGAGGAATTGAAGCATTACCTTACGGGATTGATCATTTTTTTTTTTACAGTTTAGTAAGAAATATAAGAAGAAATTGGCAATGTATAATATTTACTTTTCTGGACCTATATTCATGAAAACATTGAATATAAGAAGGGGTAGTGACTTGAGGTTGAATAAGAGTTTTTAATTGTTTAATGGATGCTGATGACTTTGTTTCTATTGGTAGATTGTTCCAGTAGTCTGAAGTACTTGGTATGAAGGATGATTTTGTGACTTGCAGTCTATAGTATGGGTTCTGAAAGTTATTCCTGTTTCTAAGATTATAGTTAGAGAAGTTTGACACAATAGGTGGTAGAAGAGATTTTAGAAATGAGGGAGCATTATCATGATAAATATTATAAAACATGGATAATTTTCTAATCCT